GATCACACAAGAAAACAGAACCTGAGTAAAATCCTAAATGAAAGCTAGTCAGAGCTGCTTCAGTTATCATAGAGCTCTTCCGTAGCAGTTTCTTTGCAATAAAGTGTCTGAGAGTGCTCTCTCTGAACTTTAATGTCACAACAATTTAACTTGTTTTATGTTTTTTGAGTAAATCAATATTTACAAATGGACCTTACTTTCCAGCTGTTCCCGTGTTTTCAACAGCCTCTATCAGTCTTCCTCAATAGAGGAAGTTGGTTTAGTTGTCTTGGAGGTGGCATCACCTGAAATCAATCTGGAACATTATCCACAACAAGGATCTATTTATTAATCAGAGTCAATTTAGTTTAAGAATCCTCTTTACAATCTTATACTTTTTATTATATGTAACCTATGAAACTTTTTCATATTTATTAATTGCAAATAGCTTTAGCCTCAGATATCTCCCTGATGATAGAATAAGCTTCAGCACAGGCCGAACTCTTCAGGTCTGATTGGGTCCAATCAGGCTGCTGAGTTCCAGCTGTTGTATCAGCAGCCTGTCAGTAAAGCGGGGACTCTTATCAGAGAGATTCTGAACTGAACGCAGAAGCCCATGAAAGGCATCAAACCATGACCTTACAGCTTAAAACCAAAGCCCGACTCTTCGACCTGCACTGCTCTGTTGGCCTGACGGACTGGGACATGGACAAGGAGCTGAAACTGGCCACAACCACGGATCAGTTATACCACGGTGACTGATTTCCTTAGCTTCCCTGTGGGTGGAAATGTTGCAAATGAATCCAAACAGCACAGTAAACCGCTGAGGAGGATTGTTCATACTTAAAACTGATTATGAGATGGCGTGCAAGATGTGCAGATTGTCAGTAAGCATATTTTTGTGTGTCAATTTGTTAATCTATCACTGATGACAGATGACAAACTGAATGATCAACATGTGGTCCAGAGGCCTTCTTCAAGAGCCTCGAGAAGAAAAGACGAATTCATTTGGTACGATAAAACATCAGGTAAGCTCAGAGAAAAACATTTTAGTTTCTTTTATGAATGTCTATAGATTCATCTGCCGATTAAACAGCTGACTATCTGCTTTATGCAGGATTTACTTTAAAAGCTTTTTACTTTTGTTGTATTCCTTTTTAGCACATTTGACTGATATTCTATGGTATTAAAATTATCCTTTGGTAATGGGTCACGGTTTCTCACTGTAATGCGTTGTTAGTAGGCTATACTGTACCAGTGGGTTAGAGGGGATGTTTTTTGTGGGAAGTATGCTTTTTTGTTAAGCCTTAGCTAAGAAAATTAACGTCCGTCTGTAAAGACTGTGTTAAAGAACTACTTGTCAAGGAAAGAGAGTAGGTTTGTGTGTATATATGTATATATTTCCCAAAAAGTCAAAAACGTCTTAATAAGACATTTGTTAAACAGATTTCCTCCCTGACAAATCATTACTTCCTGATATTCTGAAACATGTTGATTTCACATGCAGTGTTTCTACTCCCTTTCTCATACTTTTTAGCTTATTTTCCTCTGTTTTCCTGATGAAAATAGTACCAGTTGGACCAATTGAAAATGGATGTTACTTTTTCTTTTAAAAAAAAAAGCAAATACTTTCACTGTATTTTTAAACTGTATTTGATTGTTCTATCCTTCAGACACCTTTGTGAAGCCAAACCTGTGGCTGCTGGTGAATCCCAATATTGCCAGCCCTATCCAGTACGGAGAAAATTCAGCAGATCTGCAGACTCCCTGTGAACCCGCTGATGAAATCCAAAAACCACCACGGAACCCAGCAGGGACTCAACGTCAACTCGGCACAGAGCTCCACACGTGTGCCCCCCATGGAGCTCCTCTCAAGCATGAGATGCTGCACTCCACTGACTACATGGTATAGTATTCAGTACAGACATCACAAATCAAATCCCATCACATGTGTGGAGGCATGGGTAGTTTGCTCTCAACAGTCACAGTTAATATTGTGCAACCAATCTTACATTTTAAACTTGTTTTGCAAGGTGAATTAATTTATTTGTTGTAAAAGCTCCAAATAAAGATCACATATTAATTAATATAAGGTGTAAATGGTGAAATCACTGCCCTGATTTTTTTTTTTATCCTGGAGCATACCACAAATACTAATAAAGCATTCATTCAGATAATTTGACAGTGTGTTATGAATCATAACACCATCTTTTGACCACTAGATCAAGAATGAAGATGTCTCCTGTGCACCAGCCAAGAACAGACGCAAGGGAAGAACCCCGAAGACCAGGGTGAGAACACTGGACTTGGACATTATCCATATTCCTCTAGTGGGGTACAGAGAGCTCTAGGAACTCCTCCCTTTTTTTTCTTAATTATTAAACCCCCTTAAAATCTATTTTCTCAATAATCATCTTAATATGACTGATTGGTTTTACACATTTCATATATGTGACTTGTTACACCTGTTCACTTTTCCATAGCTTGAAATTGTCTGGACACTGTTTGAAAAAGGTTGACATTTGAAGGGCTTAAAATATCCTTGAGGAATACATATTTTCCTTAAGATCTGTAAGGTTGGCGTTGCACAAGTTTGTTTCCCCGGTTTCTGAAATGTGTCATTCATGTGCACCGTCAGAAGGATTCATGGGCTTTTAAATTAGTGTTCTACTTGCCTCCAGGACAGCAGGACCCTGAAGCCAGGATGCTGGCCTCGTCCACCTGTGAACTACTGCATCCTCATCGCATTGGCGCTCAAGAGCAGCCATACTGGGAGCCTCAAAGTCCAGCAGATTTACAACTTCACCAGGTCAGAACTTGATAGTTTGGTAAAACACACACACTAGGTTCATATAAAGATTTGTAGTCTAGTCCCATTATACAACACACTCTCACTCCATGATCGTCCAGGAGCTACGTTTGGTGAGGGTCCCGTGGCGTGCAGTTGTGATGCTCCTAGGCTCCTTCAGCTTCATAAAAGGACCCAAATAGCTTTCAACTGATTGCAATCAATCAATCAATCAATCAATNNNCATAACGCGTAGTTTGTCATGGTGTCAAATCTCATGAATAATACGTCTACCGGGCATAAAGTCCTAATGTAAACTAACATAACAACAAATTAATAATTAACGATAATTTCACAAGAATTATTGACTATATTCACGGGCAAACAAATTATTGCCACAAATATGACGACTCCCGTTAGATAGAACGGACATATAAAATTGAGGTACAAACACAACCATTACGTTTCAGAGACATAACATTCACAACTGATACAAAATAGTGACTAGTAATTAGGTTTATCAGACGACCTAACTAAATAAATTTCCATAAGATTATAATTACGAACTCACGCCATCATTTACATCTAGGATATATAAAAAATTAGAATTTACATCCACAACGAAAGAAACCACTACATGTTAGATACGGTTTTGTACATATCATAACATGAGTTCATTATCAAGTAGTCACCAGGAGCTTGAAGTATTACTCATAGGACAATACAAATATCAGACAACTCATTATATCGTCATAAATCATTAAAATGCCTGGTGACGGTTTTATGTTTCGACCATACAATTACAAATAACGGAACATGTAAATAACTTTAGATTCCTTAACACTCCCTAATTACACAATTCTGGACAGTAATAAATTTACTTTATTCATCCGTTGATGCATTTTATTCATCATTTTATCAGATATTTAAAATTTAGGTAATAACATATTGTATATAACCCTTTATCATAATTTTTCTCACAACAAGATATCCCACCAAGACATATTTCCTACACACCGTAGCCATTTTCTTCTATGGCAAAAGCTTATTCTAATGCCCTATACTCGACAGTTACGTTATCAAATAAATTCGTGGAAAGTCGGTATTCCTTGGGTTCACGGAAGATGTACTATTATTATATTTTACCTAAAATTTCCTATAATTTACCATGACTATCTATTGGATAGATAATAATATTTACCAGTAAATTTTTGTCCCGTAAATTTTTACGTTTCTATTATTTATTCTTATGTGTTGCCATTAATTTACGTACTTAATTTTTAGTAACTGACGTCACACTTATACTATTGATAATGAGTGAGATATACGAGTCATTCTGGTTTAAATTATATGCTAAAAAAATACACGAACCAAAGTTTCAAACCAATATTCGTCAACGTAACGCCTGGACGTCTAAATACCAAGTACCTCACCAAAAAAAACAAGGTCAATAATCCAACCACAGGTATAGAGATGCTATTTTCCCGCAACGAACAGTACAAACATCAGACTGAGACAATTGTCTCTACAGTCTGTGGCAGGGTCTTCTGGACTCTGAGGACCTTCCGTATGAGCCGCTAGAATTATAATTAAACAGGATTTTGGTAAAGTAGACACATTATTGGTCTTTATCCTGCCATTTAGTTAATAACCATATGACCTTCGGATAAACATACACATTTCAGAAGTCTTTGCCACTGATAATAATCTAGGAAAATCCAGAGATATCTGAAGTCCTCTCGATTCCCCAGGATCGATCATGCCCCGGTCAAATGGAAACCAAAACTAGTCTGTCCTTGGGTTAACTTATTTTTGTCAATTTTGTATTGTTTAGTAAATGATTCAAATTAGTATATGTCTAGTGTAATTCTATGAAACCAATTTATTTTGTGCAGGACAGGACCTGGTCCGTGTGGTTAACGCTAGAGTAAAAAGTCAGCCTACAAAAGAACATAACAACGAGGAGACAATAAAACTTGTTAATGTAGTGTTTAACTTTGATCTGCGAGTATTAATATTACTTGAGTAACATTTTGATTGCAGGACTTTTACTTGTTACAGAGTAGTCCCACGCTCTGGTACTTCTTATTTTACTCAGAGTACTTCTCTGTTGTTTTGGCAATAGGAACTGAAGTGGTTGAAATGCTAAATGCAAACTGTGCAATGCTCCATAGAAACGCGCGCACACACACATGCACAAGTATTTGGAAAGTCAGGTGACGGTCACATGGTGCAGTCAGCTGACGCTAACGCTAACAAGCCGACTGACGGTTCTCCAGAGACGGATCTGACGGTCAGACAGGATGCCTTTCTCCGAGCTCTATTTTAACGTTGATAATGGCTACCTGGAGGGGCTGGTCAGAGGATTCAAAGCTGGAATACTGTCCCAGGGGGATTATTTGAACCTCGTTCAGTGTGAGACCCTGGAAGGTGAGTTAAACAATGGCTAGTAACACGAGCAATAGCTAGTCATACGGGGCTCATTCAAGCTAAAGCTAGCTGTCAGTCTTGAAGCTAGTTAGCTCGATTTACATCAACGATCGTGTTGCATTAAAACGCAATATTCAACTCTCTACTTGGCAGCAGTCAGTAAGCACCACGTCGACAATTTGCAAATATTTGTTAAAACCGTTGTCGAAATGTGTTTTTTAAAAGCTTACTATCCTCTAAATCCCAGCTAGCTAGGGAGCTAACGCTATGCTAACAAAAGCTAAGCTGATACAGCCAAGTGTTTTTTCTTATATTGTTCAATCACGGATTTATTGAGAGGAAGTGAAATAACAATAGGAAGATGTTTTTACCCCGTGATGTCACATACGACACCGTATAACTACAGTGTCGAACAGATGGCATATTTTATAATCATTAGATGGCTGTATTACTCTGACACTCCCGCAGTTTATTATGGTCATTAACGCATACAGTCACTGCTTGTGAACGTTTTCTGGTCAACATCAATATGACTGAGATTGTAATGTTATAGTTAAATAGAAAGGAAGTGTTGCAGCACCAAAATAATAAAGTAAAACATAATATAAGGTTAAATGTATTGGTATAGTATCATAAAAACATCATACTGCATCTGAGTACATGATTTAACATGTCATATATTACAGTATCAATGACATTATAATTCTAAATACAAAGATATCATCTTAACTCTGATGGGTTGTACAAGTCTATGTCAACACTAAAATTGCAATGTTAAGTGTACATGATGTGTATAAAATTAGCTAAAACATGCACGCATAGTGGAATGGTTCTGCTGAGGTTTTAGATAAATATGATAATTTCACGCTACGTTGCGCATCTTGCATCTTAATTTAAGGTTTATTTCACACTTACTAAAATCTATAAGGATAAAGTTAATTGTCCTAATCTGCTTGTGTCTCCCTTGCAGATCTGAAGCTCCACCTGCAGAGCACAGACTATGGCAGCTTCCTGGCAAACGAGGCGTCTCCGCTCACCGTGTCCGTTATCGATGACAAGCTGAAGGAGAAGATGGTGGTGGAGTTTCGCCACATGAGGAATCAGTCTTACGAGCCTCTGGCTAGCTTCATGGACTTCATCACGTAAGCAAAAAAAAAGCTGTTGTGTTGAAATAATTTCCAACTTCCTGAACTGTAACCTTTTCTGTAAAATCTTTCTTTTGTGAATTTAACACTTGTGAAATACTGAAAAAAGCAGGGGAGCAACTAAAGCAAATAACATCAAACATCACATCAGTATAAAATCAATGATAATTATAATATTAAAACAAACACATTCGATAACATAATCACATTTTTCACACACTAAAATAATAGTGTCAGGGTTAATGTTATTCATCATAGTTTTTTGGCAAGAATTTAAGACACAGATCTAGCTAACTCTGTCAGCTATTAATTTGATCATGCTTTAGATTCCCTTTCTCAGCAGGTTGATTTAATCGAGCACTTAAAAGTAGGGTAGGTAAGAATGGAGAAACCAGCTCGAGTGCGCTAGAATTTGAAAGTACACTACCAAAACAAATCTGCTCCTTCCTTCAGACTTCCTTACAGAGTCCCTCCTCCAACACACACGAACGCACACAAGACCAATGAGGGCACGAGATAAGTTTGTGCCATCCAATGATCTGCCCCGGGCCGAGGCAGATAATTGGACTTGCTTTTACAGCGCCACAGCTTCCACAGATGAAATATTTGTATATATTTATTGTCAAAGCATTTAATTTATTCATTCCTATTGGAATGTTAAGAGCATTCCATGGAATATAACAAAAAGAGTTTCTGACGTGAATTACCTACCCTACCTTTTAATGTTTTGGAATATAGTTTTAATAGCTTAAAACCTGCTCAAGGGTATATACCAGGGGTATTCAACTAAAATTCAACGAGGTCCAGTTAGAGAAAATCTGCCCATGCAAAGGTCCGGAGCTTCAAAATGTCTAACTTGCTTTATGAATTAGTGTGATATATATTGAAGTAGCCTGCAGCATTATCAACGTCTGCATGTAATCAACAACTGACTGCCAATCAAATAAAGAAAGTACAATTCAAAAACAACTATTTATTGTCAATTAACATTGAACTATACAGATATACAGTACATACTGTGGATATGTGTAATGTTCCTCTCGGGCTGCATTTAAAAATAAAATAGAGAAAATAAATAAAATAGCTTTTGAAAATGTGTGCATCTTAAAAGTGTTTAATTTTAGATAAATAAAATAAAGTGTAGCAGCAGCTTGAGTTTCTCTGTTTCTTTGTTAACCGTTTCACATCATGACTTAACTGTTTCAGACGATTATAGAACAATATCAGTCTTTACACATCATAACAATTGAACAGTTTTAAAGTTTCTCTTTCTTTCCCTCTTATATTGCAGTCCCTCACTCAATTTTTTTTAATTCAGTGCGAGAATTGAGCTTGAGCTTGTTGTGCCAGGAGTTTGTAAATCTGGGCTGAAATGGTGTCAAGGCCGTTCTCATACACATGCAGGCAGACACGGCGGCAAACATACGTCTCTGGGTGGGCATTTGATTTACCAGGGCGGGCCCACCCCGAAATATTATATTTATATAAATATAAATGATAATAGCCAAACTAACCCAGCAAGAGTAAACTGACAGGCTGCTGTGCCGCATCTCACTCAAAAACCCACACGACTCAACCCAGCAAAAAACCAGTCTCGCGCGCAGCCTTTCATTCAGAATTTAATATCAAAATAAAAAAATGATATTAGACTAATAATTCAACATAGTTTAAAACAAAAATAAATATTAGGACAGAGCCCTCCAAATAACAACCATAAACATAGCTATAACGTCAAGGACCTTGCCTTTCGTCGACCTTTCCGTTCTTTTTATCATGTAAATTTTGGTGTTGTCGGTTCCCTCTAACAAAGAGGAAATCGAAAACCCGGTGAAAACCGTGGGTAGAACGAACAAAAGAAGACGATTGGGTAGGATGGTAAAGTCCAAAAAAGGTGGTGAAAAGTAATTAGAAATTTTACCCGCCAAAATAAATCACCCGCCAAAATGTTTGGGCTCCCCCCGCACAGGGGTTGGTCCACCGGCAGACATCTGCCGAGGCCCGCCGCAGACCCGCTAACACTGGCCGGAGTTTAGAAACCGAGCTCTCGAAGCGGGGTCCCCTTACCGGGGTGAAAGCCCCGTGGTCGGGTTCTCCCCCCTACCCCCCCCGGGGCGACCAAACCCTCCCCACCCGGGCACTAGTCCGTCCTACTGCAAAAGGTAGTATATTCGAGCATTTGGACCTTTCTGGGTCATCCCCCGCCCACCCCCCAACCAGTAACCCTGTCTCCTTTCAGAATTTTTCAATAACCAAAAGAAATTGAAGAATAGTGCCACCAATTGGGAAGAACCCTGGCTTTGATTACCGGGGGGGATTTGGAAGCCAAAAAAAAGTTTTTACTACATATTTAATGGGTCCCCAAAAGCCGTTTGGTCCCCGTTTCTTTTGGGCGCCAAGGCCTAGGGGCCTTGGGGCTGGGGGGTTATGGCTCAAGGCTTTTGGATATTAAGTTTATGTGTTAATTATTCCCCCTAAAAGTTAAAAAAACCTGGCCCCCAGGCTAAGAAAAATGTTGGGCGGCCTGGTCCCCCCGCTTTTTCTCCCTGCCTAACTCAACTCGCCCTATCGGGTTCCCTCTCCCGTCTTTGTTGTGGTCCTCTTCCTCGCTTGCTCTGCTCACTCGCTCATGTCCCCCCTCCCTTTGTGGCTGTGTCCTCTCTCTTCTCTGCCTCACTCTGCTTGTGTCGTCTCTCTTCTCTCGTCTTCTCTCGCTCCTCTATCTTCTCTTCTCTTATGTCTTCGCTCATGGTCCCTGCCCTCTCTTACCTCTGCTCTACTCACCTCTTGTCCGGCACATATCGCCCGTCTGTCGCCTTCCTGTTTATTTCACCTATTCACTCTTCTTCGTCTCCGAAAATTGGGGCTCACCTGAGTAAGTACAAGTAGGACGGGTGACCCTCCGTGTCTTGGGCACACACAGAGTAAGTCTCTGGCACCGCAAGTAATTTTCACGGTTTTGTGGTGATATTCTGTTTTGTGTTCACACAACTGGTTTGTAAGGGAGAGTTCAGTCTTGACTCCAGTGTTTTTTATTCGTCAGAGTCTCGGGTTATACTAGTCAGGTGGTCCTAGTTTTAATTTTATTTATAGCAAGGTCGCGTCCGATTGGCTCCGATTGGTTACTCGTGGACGTACGTCTGGGCCGCAGTACCCGCCCGGGCGGGTAGGTCCTAAACCCGGGCGTCAAAATTAGTCCCGACTTATGTTGTAAAATTA